GGGGAATTCTGGGAGTTGAAGTCCACACATCTTAAAGTTGCTGAGATTGAGAAACACTGCTATAGCAAGATTGCCAAATACTTCTATGAAGCCTCCATGTGGGGTTCAAAGACATATCTCTTGTGCAACCAATATTGCAAATATTAATAATCTGACCTTTCATAAATATTATAAACATCATAAATAAGTAATTTGCTACAGATTTTTTTAATCCGTTCCATCGTGTCCGATTCTCGGAGACTGCCTGGAAGAGTCCCTGCAGTTTTCTTGGCAACGTTTTTCGGAAGTGGTTTGCCCTTGCCTACTTCCTAGGGCTGAGAGAGAGGGACTGGCCCACAGTCCCCCACCTGGCTTTGTGCCCAAGGCAGGATTAGAACTCAGGGTCTCCCGGTTTCTAGCCCGGTGCTTCAACCACAACATGAAACTGGTGTAACTACCATAACTACAGTTATAGCTCACCATTATTTTGTGCAACTCCTCCTCCCTGCTATTTTCCCCACCACAACAACCCTGTGAGGAGAGTTGGGCTGAATGAGACCAACTGGCCCAAAGTCACCCATCTGGCTTCCTTGCTTAAGGCAGGACTAGAACTTCTGGTCTCCAGTTCCTAGTTAAACATTTTCACCATTGCTCCAAACTGGTTCTTGTCGAATAAGTCAAACCTTCTTGTGGCACTGAGTTCCGTAAGCAATGAGGGTGATGTGCAAAGAAAGATTGATTTTCAACTGTCTGCCAATAAATTTCACCCGGTGAATACCAAACCAGATCGTATCCCCTTGAAGTCACTAGCACTGAGAAGCACCATTCTCCAGCCTCTTGTTTTGGGAGCCCCTTTCAATATCTCTGTCCGCCACCTTCCACATCCATCTTGCAATGGCCCAAATGATGCTTTTGTCCACGTGGGAACACACGAAACACCGATAACTTCCTTATCCGAGGATAATTAAATTAATAAAAATACTCTTTTACGAAATGGAAGATGGGTAGAACACACTGTTTCCCCCCCAATTTTGCCAAGGATAAATCAGCTGTTGATTGGAGGGCTGAAGTCATTAATCTGAGTTTGGACCAGGAAAGTTTGCTGCTCTTTATCAGTTAACCTGACCCAAGAATACCAAGATTCTGCGACGGTTTTGTACTCAAGAAAGAAGCACAAGAGTCAAAACACCTTCCCCGATCTTGTGGCCATTTGAGAAGTCAGGACTACATCTCCCAGAATTCCTAGATTCTGAAGACTCTGGGTTTTAGCACCAGGTTGGAGACAGCTGGGGCAGACCAGATAGAAAAATGTTTCTCTCCTACGATCTTTAATTCTCTTTAAAAGATAAACGTGCCTAATTCTAAAATCAGATGCTCTCTTTCTATGCTTTGCCCTGATTCCTTCCGTGACGCACCTGGGTCTCTACAGCCCATTTGAACTGACCAAGATCTGCCTTTGATAGAAGTAAGGTATGGATGCCGGCGAAGACCTGTCTAACTTCGGGAGAAATATGGCCCTTCAGTAACGGAGTCCTGCTGGGGCTAATCTACAGCCACGCACCAAACTTACCTTTCAAATAGGTTCTGATCAACGTTAGAGCCGTGAAAAATCATTCAAAAGCATTTCATGCTATAGAACGGTGTTTTTCAAACTTGACAAACTTTAAGATGTGTTGAAGTCCCCACATCTTAAAGTTGCCAAGTTTGAGAAGCACTGTTCTATAGAACAACAGCTGGGTTTGCACAACACAGAGAACCATACACCACCCCTAAGGACTAACAGTACACTAAGCCACAAGAGAAGCTAACCAAGATAAACCCTAACCGAGTTTAGCATGCCCTGAGAATGCCATTGGGGAAATGGTTGGGTGGCAGAGTGCCAACCCAACCAGCAAACAGCAGCGTGTGGGTCTCTCTCTGAGCATTCAGAAGACCGCCTTGGTCCAGAAGATGCCAAACGGGGGGAGAAGAGGTCCCACTGAGTTCAGCCTAGGCCCCTCCGGGGCCCTGAGGCAAATGCTGCTGAGAGGCCTCTTAGCGGGCAAGGAGAACCCACCGCCCGAGCCATGCGCCCCCCTCACCTTGTTTCTTCCTTCTGGCTTGTGCGAGCATTTCCATGGAGTTTACGAGGAACAGCAACAGGAGAAGGACCCACTGCATCTGGCCGGGCATCAATTGGGGCACGGAAAGAATCAAATCATCCGGGAGGGGGGCAGTTTCTCCTGCCACCCAGCGCAGAAGGAGTGCAGGAGAGAAACAGCTCTGATGAAGGGAGGGCGGCGGGG